AGCACCCTGTTCTCTTCACTAAATTACAAAACCAGGAAAACAAAAAACAAAAAAGTTTTAATTTTTCTCCTGTGATCTCTCTAATGGAGCAAGAACTACCTTCTAGTAGTAGTAGTACTAGACACAAGCCAAAGCTACTAAACCGGCTCAACACGTATGTCGGTTCGAGCCGGGTTGGTAAACGGTTTAAACTCGCCGAAAGGAATTCAACTTTCACGACGGAGCTCCGTGCTGGTACGGCGACTTTTCTCACCATGGCTTATATCCTCGCCGTAAACGCTTCAATCCTCTCTGATTCCGGTGGTACTTGCTCTGTTTCCGATTGTGTTCCGCTCTGCTCAAACCCAACGATCCTACCTTCCCAGTGTACCGGACCGGGTCTCCGGTTGATCCAACCCGACGAATCTTGTAAACTCAACCCGGTTAATCCCGGTTACGCCGCTTGCGTTGATGGAATTCGCAAGGATCTAATCGTCGCCACCGTAGCTTCGTCTCTGATCGGATGTGTAATCATGGGACTGATGGCGAATCTCCCTCTAGCTTTAGCTCCGGGAATGGGAACAAACGCTTATTTCGCTTACACCGTCGTCGGATTTCACGGATCCGGTTCAATCTCTTACCGGACTGCACTCGCCGCCGTTTTCATCGAAGGGTTGATATTTCTCTTCATCTCCGCCTTAGGTTTCAGAGCAAAGCTGGCAAAACTCGTTCCTAAACCGGTCAGAATCAGCTCCTCCGCCGGAATCGGACTCTTCCTCGCCTTCATCGGATTACAGAACAATCAAGGGATCGGTTTAGTCGGTTACAGTCCTTCCACACTCGTCACTCTCGCCGCTTGTCCAAGCTCGTCGCGAGTTTCGTTAGCTCCCGTTATAACGTCGGCTAACGGAACCGTTAGTTTGATCGCCGGAGGATCAGTTTCCGGCGATATTATGTGTCTTCACGGAAGAATGGAGAGTCCAACGTTTTGGTTAGGAATCGTCGGATTCGTGATCATAGCTTATTGTTTGGTGAAGAATGTCAAAGGAGCGATGATTTACGGGATCGTCTTCGTAACGGCGGTTTCGTGGTTCCGTAACACGGAGGTAACGGCGTTTCCGAATACAGTTGCCGGAGACTCTGCTTATGAGTATTTCAAAAAAGTCGTCGATGTACACGTCATCAAGCACACCGCCGGAGCTTTGAGCTTCTCCGGGATAAACAAGGGACATTTCTGGGAAGCTCTGGTGACTTTTCTCTACGTCGATATTCTAGACACGACGGGTACGCTTTACTCCATGGCTAGATTCGCCGGATTCGTCGACGAGAAAGGAGATTTCGAGGGACAGTATTTCGCGTTTATGTCCGATGCGTCTGCGATCGTGATCGGATCGTTGCTTGGAACTTCGCCGGTGACGGTTTTCATCGAATCGTCGACGGGGATACGGGAAGGAGGGAGGACGGGACTGACGGCGATTACCGTCGCGATTTATTTCTTCCTGGCGATGTTTTTCACGCCGTTGTTAGCTTCGATTCCGGCGTGGGCGGTTGGTCCGCCGTTGATATTGGTGGGAGTGATGATGATGAAATCGGTGACGGAGATCGATTGGGAAGATATGAGAGAGGCGATTCCGGCGTTCGTGACTATGATTCTGATGCCGTTGACGTACTCCGTCGCGTACGGATTGATCGGAGGGATTGGGACGTACATCGTGCTGCATCTATGGGATTGGGGAGAAGAAGGTATGGTGAAATTAGGGTTTTT